GGCGGGAGGGGGAAGGGAGGGCGACGCACGGCGTCAGGGCCCGCGCCGCCGCCATCATGGGGGGGGCCCGGCCCTCGCCGCCGCCGCCATGTTGGGGAGGTCGCGGCCTGTGGGCGGGCGTGGGGAGCCCACCAGAAAACCCACGGGATTTAGGTGCACGCAGCTCTTCGTGTGGCACCGACGGGGTTTAGACACGCGGGGGTACCAGTGTAGGATCTATGCAACCTTAGATGTGCAAGGTAGTGCAGTGTCTATGGGCTTTAGAGACACGGGTCCCGATGTAGGATCTGTGCAACCTTAGACGTGCATAGCACAGTGCCCAATGTAGCGCCTATGGGCTTTAGACACGCAGGGGGTCCCGATGTAGCACGTACACAACCTTTGACGTGCATAACACAGTGCCCAGTGTAGCGTCTGTGGGCTTTAGACACGCGGGGGGTCCCGATGTAGCATCTGCACAACCTTAGATGTGCATACACAGTGCCCAATGTAGCATCTATGGGCTTTAGACACGCAGGGGTCCCGATGTAGGATCTATGCGACCTTAGACATGCATAGCACGGTGCCCAATGTAGTGTCTATGGGCTTTAGACACGCAGGGGTCCCGATGTAGGATCTATGCGACCTTAGACATGCATAGCACGGTGCCCAATGTAGCGTCTATGGGCTTTAGACACACAGGGGTCCCAATGTAGGATCTATGCAACCTTAGATATGCACAGCACAGTGCCCAATGTAGTGTCTATGGGCGTTAGACACACGGGAGTCCCAATGTAGCATCTGCACAACCTTAGATGTGCATAGCACGGTGCCCAATGTAGCGTCTATGGGCTTTAGACACGCAGGGGTCCCGATGTAGGATCTATGTGACCTTAGACATGCATAGCATAGTGTCCAACGTAGTGTCTACGGGCTTTAGACATGCGTGGGTCCCAATGTAGGATCTACGCAAGCTTAGACGTGCCTAGTTCTCAGTGTAGCACCTACACGGCTGTAGATGCACCGTGTCCAATGTAGCGCCTATGGGCTTTAGACACACAAAGCCACATCCTGCAGATGGGATTAGTCCACGGGCCAAATCCAGCATGGGATGATCAGCATGCAGGTCTCTCCATGGGTGCAATCCAGGACAAACCCGCATGCTGGATCTGACTGCAGAGCGACCCGGGTGCTGACACAATCTGGCGCAGGGAGCCATGTCATCTAGCTTGCAGGGCTCCCCACGGTGTGGAAATTGGGAGGGGAAGCAGTGGCAGCATTAATGTCACTGCCACCGAATTTCCAGACCCGTGGGGTGCCCCATGGGCAGAACAGCATGGCCCCATGGGCCGCATTCGACCCATGGGTTGGAGGTTGAGCACCCCTGTTCCCGAGCGCTAGCCAGCCTGTTGCGGTGTGCTCGGTATGAAATGGCAACGGCATGCCAAGAGGGATGCCAAAGCACGCTCCTCTAGGGAGGACCAAGCCAGACCCATTTCAGATGCAAAATACCGACACGCAGGAGTCAACAGAGTTCCCTAAGTTTCGTGGTTATGGGATCACAGCTGTGTGTTGAGCAGTGAGGTGGTTGCTGCGGTCTGTGGTCAAAGCTGTTTCGTCTGCATGGGATCCTAGAGAGCGGCACAGGTGCTAAATGGCCATTTCATGGGACAAGGCAGTGATTTCCCACCTGGGACTTCTGCCCAGGATGAGACCTCTTGTTCCTACCACAGTTCAGGAAAACGGGACAGTGTGCGTGAAATGCAAATGGCACTAAGAGTGTCTACTTCTACCAGGAATAGAAACTGCAGAACTGCAAGTACCTACTGCCGCTTACCCAAGGATGAAACGATGAAAAGTATTGACATGAAACCTAATAATTTCTTATTATTGATATATTACTATTATGCCCAGGCACCTCTGAAGAAGGCGGCATAGATATGCCCCCTGTGACTAATTAAATAAGCTACACAAGATCAGAGCCTTGTTTTGCTGCATGCTGTATGAACATAAAAGATAGTCCCCGCCCCAGACAGAATGCAGCCTAAATGGGGATTAAGGCATGACAGGGCATCCAAAACATGTACGAGTAGGAGGAAGGAGGCACAGAATAAAAGGGCTTGCATATTGTGAGCACTGTAGTACAACTGGGGCTAACAAGGGGACTTGAAGAAGAGAGATTTGGTTGGGAAGTTGTTAGGGGGTGGGGGTTCCCCCACATATAAGAGGCAGCATAAAAAACAGCAAAAAAGGTGTCTGCGGGGTCGGGGGGGGACAACGTATCAAGAGAAAAGGCGGGATCATTGGCAGGCAAAAGGGCACAGAGACGAGTCTGTAGCTATCACAACCCCCGTAAACACTTGTAGAAGAAACAGCTAAACATGGAGTGACAAGACACTCTTACACTTCCATAAATGATTTATGAAGTGTTCATGGAAATGAGGTGGAAAATGAATTCCAAATTTACAGTCTGCTGAGGAAAATATCTGTGGTAATGATCTTAATTTATATAGCACATTCCATCCTCAAGGGTCCTTGGCGCACAGTTGGATTCAACAGCAGTTTAGACATCTGCATAAAAGTCATCATATTAGCCAAGGTAAGATCTTGGCTGGCCTTCCTGAGTACTAGATGTCATAGCCCACCACCCAATATAGTGAATCACCTGTGGTTCGGTATGTTCTAGTAAATTACTGCACAGTTAGCAGGAATAGGTCAGTGTCTACACGTGGAGCTGTTAAAGTACATTAATGCTGTCTGTGGACTGGCTTGGGACTAAAGTTAGTCTCAAGTCAGTCCACACACACAGTTACTGCACATTAAGGCATCTACACATGCGTTACTGTGCAGTAACTAATCGGGTGTACATTTGATACCTGCATGATACAGAAATTGTGTCAGCCTCTGGGTGCGCACACACGGTGCAGTTGCAAAATGATGGTGGAATGTGTATCTGGCCAGCTGAAGGAACATGGCACTGCCTACACACCCATTTGGATAGCAGCATGTGTTATGTTGCTGTATATATTGCACAACATTTCATGAGGAGGAAGAGCACATTAGCCAGGAATGAGACACACAGTGGGCATGCCTACATGTGCATTTACACTGGCTTAAATTTACTGCACAGTAAATTACTGTGCAGTAAGCAGGAATAGGCCAGCATCTACACGTGCAGCTGTTAAAGTGCATTAACGCTGTGTGTGGGCTGACTTGGGACTAAAGTTAGTCCCAAGTCAGTCCACACACAGTGTTACTGCGTAGTAAGGTGTCTACACGTGCATTACTGTGCAGTAACTAATCAGGCGTAAATTTGATACCTGCATGATACAGGTATCAAATTTATGCTCAAGTTGGCATAAATCACCATATTTACTGTGCTGTACGCATGGACGTGCCCAGTCAGTGTCAGAAAATGCACCTCTGATAACCGGGACTGGGTCCAGGAGAACCAGGGATGTAAGAGATGCCTTATCTGCCACATCTTCAGTTTGAAAGGAAGAAATGGGGGGAAGGATAATGGAGCACTATCCTTCGAAGCTGAGATTTTGTTAGTCCAAGACATCATTTAAATCATTGCTGTAAAGGTCCTATCTCTATTGGAAAGTCCACCAGAAATTGTGTGTCAGCCTCTGGTGAGCCACCAGATATTTTCCTGCATGTTATCACTATTCAAGTGCTGTAGAGATGCAATAGAAATGTTGCCAGAACTGAAGGCTCTCTGCAGCATGGACTTTAAGTGCTGAACACATCTATATAACCTGGTAGGTGGCTACCCAGGCAGCAGACAGGAGGATGTAGATGGCAAGAACATACTGTCCAGGGCTGATTATGATAGGGCTGGGAAAGCTGAGTTAATTACTCTGCATCCACTCTGGAAGGTAGGTGGATTTCCCAATCTGAAAGTGAATAGCACTTCAGCATTAACTTATAATTTTAGTTGTGCTGGCTAATCTGGTTTGATATGTGGATCAGAGACTTCTCTGTCCTGCCAGGAGCCAAATTTGGGGCAAGAGCTAAAAAAAAAAGACCCCCGGTTTTTTTTCTTGGGTAAAGACATAATTTACTTTTGATTTGGCCAAGTCATAGTTCAAAGATTAGCACTTGTCTCTCACAAAAAGGGACGTGGGATTCTAATGCCCATAAACTGGCAGGGATGTGGCTTTTGCGTTTTGTCCAAAAGGCAGCACCCCTAGCAGAGCCGCACCTCTTAACGCTGCCCTGGTGAATTGACTCGGGGATGGTAACTTGAAGAGAACCGCCGTTACCTACCGACCCACTAATGCCAACGCTGTGTCTGCACTTCACCTTGGACAGACATTTTCCATTCCTG